CCTTCACTGCCTCTAAGGAAAGACCTGCACAAGAGACTAGCTGACGAACTGCCTCATCCACAATACAAAGGAGGATTTACACATTATCAGAAACAAATCATCCCTTCAAAAAGCCTGTCAGATCCTGATGTTATTAATTACAAATATGCTTCTATCTGCTTAAAAAGAACCTTTGCAAACTGTGTATGACTTAATTTAAAAAGATAACATCCCCTAGCTCTTTGAACATTGCCTTTTTTCTAAAAGAAGAAAAATTAGAGATGATTTCTTACCTCCAGGAAAAGTTTTCATTGAAAAATATACAGACTTTAATATAAAAAACAGCTCTCTTTGCCAGCACCAGATTAGTTACCTTCTATACCAAGTATTCCTGCATAGATTGAGCAGATTCTAAGTCCTACAAAGTTAAAGTAATGTCTTAAAAGCAACTCGATCAGTAATTATTGAGGTAATTTCAGAGAATCATTGTTGAATGAAGTGAATGTCTAGCACAGACCATCAAGCCACCATCTGCATGATTTTTAGAAGATGCCATGTTTACCAGGGTCCAATGAGGTTGCAGGATATTTGAACTACAACTTTTTTATACCATACAATTGCACATGTTTTTAGCAGGAGTTGTTGTTTATTCTACTGTATATGAGAAGGCACTAGGTATGTATGGTTCAGTCAGGCTTTCATAGACATTACCTGGCTGTTGTGTGATATTGTGAAGTAAACTCTGTGAAGACTCTAGGATGATGATCAACAACTCCCTCTCCTGTTTTCCCAGGTTTGAGTTTCTCTCATTTTAATTCTGTTAATGCAACTTATGTGACTGAATTGGTAGCTAGAATGAGACCTACTGCCTCTGCACTATACCCTGTTCCTATCCCCCACTCAAGATAACTTCCTCTGGTGTATTTCCACCAATCCCAATTACTCATGGAATTCCACAGGTTCTTTCCCACCTACTTTACATTGTAGAAATTATATGAAGCCTTTGGGTCAGATTGTTCTCTATCATGGACTTAGATTTCACTGTGATTCTAACTTAATCAGAGTAAATACAGCAAACCAAATCAGACACTACTGCTGCCTGTCTGACATCAAGTTATAGATGCAACAGAACTTTCTTGTGACAAGACCGAGGTCATGCTTACTGCCTCCTAACAACAGCTACGCAAAATTGGTGATTTCAGTGTCATGAAATTAAACCCTTGACCGAAGTTAGAAACCATGGTGTTATTTTTGACCCCGTGTTGTTACTTGAAGCCCGTGCTAGAAATCTCACAAGGGTATCATTTTTCCATCTGTGTAACGTTACCAGGTGTTGAACTCCTTGTTCTGCCTATCCGGCTAAATTGTTGACACATAATACATTATTTCATCAAGATTAGACTACTGTAATACATTGCTTTCTAGGCTATTTCCTGAGCTACTAAATAGGCTCCAGTGTGTCCAGAATTCTGGGCTTGTCTGCTAACCAGAAATATACTGACTCAGTGTTTAACTCCTGTCCTAAGTAAATGGCACCTGCTCTCTGTGAACTTTAGAGAAGGTTCTAGAGTTCGCCTGATTACATACAGTATGAGGCAAATGATTGACCTAGCTCTAGATTATCTTTAAGCACTTACTGCAAGAGTACAACTCATCTCTTAAATTTGAGAAATACTGATTTGTGTCTTCACATTGTACCAAATATAAGGCTCTACCTAATGTGTGACAATAGCTTCTTTTGGACAGATCCATGATTGTGGAACCTCTTGCCCAAGTCTGTTAGAGACTCTGCAACTGTGGACACTTTTTTACTAAAGGTTTTCATGTGCAATTCTATTTAACTCCTGGTTTAATCTAATCATTCTGTTGTGTGAAGTGTGACCCTTAAGTGTATTTTTTTTCAAATGCAAAGATATTTTAAGATAAGAGAGTGTTTCCAGCTCAAGCAGGGCTGTGCACTTAAGAGAGTGCAGCATGATAAATATTTGAGAAATAAATAGAAACGTTTTTTAGGCTTTGCTAAATAAAAACTGCAATGAAATAATTTAACAAAAACAATAAGACCAAAGGAATATTCTCACAATGTCTGTTGACAGGAATGCCTGAGTCCCCAGTACATACTGTATATAGTGCAGAGATGTTTGTGAACCCCTCAGAAACTGAAATACCTAAAATTACTTATTTAATTTTATGGGTTGTACTGTACATCATTGTATTTGAATGTTTTTCAATTAGAATGGGAACATATATTGCATTCATTTCTAAAATAAAAAATGTTAATTTAACAAAAGTAGAAATGCACTTGAAATATTTACAGTTCACAATGTTCATTATAAAAAATATTAAGGTGATGCAAACTTCAAATGTGTAGGACAGTAGTTTATATTATATAGCCCATGCTGTACATATAGTACAAATATATAGCTATTAATTTGGCCACTGGGCATTTCAGGAAGAGAAAAATATTATAACAAATATATTTATGTTATACCGCATAAATCATCTTCAACTAATTCAACAAATGTTATTTGTTGTTGCAGAACAGTCCTGTGTTATAATATAGATATTTAAATGACTGGAACACACTTTCAGAATAGCTTCAGGAGTGTTCAGTTTGGAGCCCAGATCCAAGTTCAGAGGGAAATGAAGCTTTTACTTTCGTGATATGGTTATAATTCAGGGAACAGCCATTGTAAGTGAAATCCTCACAGTGATCTGCACTAACAGTCTGCATAATTAAAGGTGATGTAAAAGTCTACATATCTGGTTAGGAGTTATGAAAGGAAGACAGACCAATTCAGTTTAGTCACCAAGACCTTTGGTGTTATCGGTGCACTGAATCAATGAGGTCTTCCCACATGAGAGGGACTTAACCAGCCAGTATACAGTGCATCATGATGGGAAGACACGTCCCAGGGAAGCAGTGAGTATTAGCAATGACAGCACAGAAGTGTGAACCAGCTGTGATACATTAAACAATAGTCCGAAATTTAGAAATGACCTTTTCATGAAGACTAGCTGTTTTAATTAGACAAATGTTATCAGGAGAATATCTTCACCCATTCCACCTATTTCATGTAGCCTGCTCTGATGAAGTTCTAAAAAGGTTTTTTACTACTTTAGGTTTGTACAGTGTGCCCTAGCTGATTAGAGGAGTCAATTGTAGTGGATAACTTCATGTCTACAGGCTATAAACAAATTATCTTTTGGAATAAAATTGGAATTAAAACACCTTAACAACTAACATTTACATTATGTTTTTCATGGTATTATGTTCTTGAATTTGGCAAATTTTGTGAATTGTAACTTGATTATGGACATAGTTGTGTTTTCTCATTGTATCTTTGTAATGTGCTTTTTACTGCCTGACCCATGACTAGAATGAGGTTTGTGAGCAGGAACTGCTATAGAGAAGTTGTGTCCAGTACCGAAGAGCCATAGTCCAGCAGGATATATAAGGAATCATTAAATCAGCATTCAGTATTAAATCGGGTATGTGAGTCTCCAGGAGCTGAAGCATCAACCTTAATATTTGGGTGTAACCCATATTCCAGCACATATTATCCTAGTGCACATTTTCCTCTAAACAAGGCACAAGCAAGAAGTTAAGATAGGCAAAATGTCTGTGCTGTGGGATTCTCTTTGCACACTTCTTCTTCAAGCAAGAAGCAAGGGTAGTGTAAAGGCTTAAAGCCTTAAGTGCATGTTATCACAATTGTGTGATGATGGTGTTCATCATGGCCTGAGCTTCAATGTGTGTTGCTGTTGTTTTTCTATACTTGTGACAGCAGGACAGACATGTGTGGGCCCTGCAGGCTGCTCCCTCTGTGTTTGCTTCTGTTCCCACTGTGTAGGTGTGCCTGGAGGGTCAGTTCTCCCTGCAGCAGGGCAGGGTGGTGGTGGAGACCTGCTGTCGTGTCCTTTCCCTCTGCTGCTGGTGGTCACATGAGGATTAGCTTTACAACCTCAATCATCGCTCCTCAGAGCCTTGGCAAGTCAGAGAAGCCGGCGCAGGCCCACATCATGGTGCGAGGGTGTTTGGTGTGGTTCTCTGCCCTGCTGGTTCCTGCTGCACCCTTCTGTAGCATGTTGTATTCCTCCCTTTGTTCAGCCATTCAGCTCCTGAGATGTACTCTAGCACCTCTCTTCCCCAGACACAGGGCAGGGCAGACATAGACACAATAACGCACACTCACACCAATTTTCCCAGAAGCCACCTAACCCACTACCATGTCTTTGGACAGTGGAGGGAAACTGGAGCACCTAGAGGAAATTTACATGAACATGGGGAGAACATGCAAACTCCATACAGATAGGACCTCAAGTCTGAAATTGAACCCAAGGACCCAATGTTGTGAGGCAGCAATGCTAACCACAGTACCACTGTGCTGCCCAACCGCAATACTAATGGTCAGTAGTATTTGCATCCTCTGCAATAATTTTAGTACACTTATTTAAAAGCATACATTTTTAATCAAGAGTGAAATATAAACAACGCACTAGCAAAGTGTAATTTAGAAAACTATGTATAATTTTGGACACCACTAGAAAGATGCTGGAAAGGACTAGAAAGATACTGCTGCTCTGGATTTTCTCTCAATCCAGAGAAAAATAACAAGATATATTGCGGGGCTTAAAAGTATTCCCTGGTCTAACAGGCTGAAAAAAACGAACCTTTTTTAGTCTTGAACAAATAAAATTATGAGATGTCCTAATTGATGTCAACGCAGTGGAATAAAAGATCTGTGAATTAACCAAATTACATGGAGGCGGTGATGGTTGCTTTTTGCGTTACATTGATGTTAACTGCACGGAAGGTGTGCAACGCGCAAACACCGGCTAAACTGTACGTGTGCGCTGATGCGACATAATTCTCTAAAAGGGGCTTGTTTGTAAAATTTCTTCTGTGGCAGAGTAAACACCCATTCCAAACTCCAGTCCGGTTATTTACTGTCTCCGTAAAGAAGGCAGGAGTACGTTGGAGCTCCATTGGCTGGGAAGTGTGGCTAAGACAAGAATTCCTCTCAGTCTCACCGCTTGGAGTAGAAAGAGAGAGGCAGAGTTCCAGTAGGATGCTCTCTGTCGAGAGTACGAGGTAGCAGCCGTGGAGGATAACACACTTTGAAAAAAAAAATGCACCGAACAGTCCTGATTCCCCAAACCCCGCAGTGTGTCCTACTAAAAGCGCATTAAAAGAAACACACAGCGGAACCTTGTCTGCTGTCTTCAAAAGGAAATTGTCTATGCTAGAGGGCGGTGGCACTCGCTTTACACTAAAGTGGGTCTGACACCAGTCCTGGGACCCCACGAACCTGTTTTCTTCCCGAGCCAGGAAGAACAAAGCAGAAAGTTCTTGAGCGGTCCTGCCGCAAAGCAGCGGATTTTGTGTTCCACGAGGAGTTGTTACATCCTTCGTATCATGGGGAAAAGTCAGCAGACTGGACACATTGGAACAGGACTGGGATACGTACTGCAAATGTGCATCTTACCTGGACTCGCAGTGTTGTTCGTCATCAGCACGGCTTCCGCTCAAGGTAAGAAACTAAGATGTCCCGTTACCTGGGCGTTGTGGGACGCGCTTCAAGCACATACTGTATGTATACACACGTACATTATATTGTAGTAACTTCTCATGTAGCGTGTTTGCACGGGCAGGCGCTTCATAAAGAACACTTGCAAAGTTTTATACATCTTACTCTTGTAAATACCAGCTACGTTTAAGTTTTTGTTTCCGAAAAGTTCGATATTCCTGTCGATCGAACGAAGCAGTAGAACCGAGAATAATTTCTGCGCAATGCAAACACTAGCGTGATAGGACGATTGAAAGCACAGCAGGTTCTTTGACTTTGAGGGAATCGCAAAAAAAAAACTTCAGGCGGACACAGGTTTTGTGTGCGCCGACTATAGTTAGAGCTTGTGCTCTCAATACTGTGGGGAGGTTTATGGTCGGCTGTGTTAACTTAGAAGTAGCCAAGTGCTACAGGCACCATGTGCATTCATGCTCCCGATTAAGAAGTAATCCACAATGTAAATATTGGAAAACGGCTTTATTACGGAATAATTAGTAGTCCACGAAATTTAATAGGGTTAGTCTGTTTAGTTTGTGTGTCGTTAGCAAACATTTGTTCATGCTGGACTCCAAACAAACACAGGACAGAACGGGCACCGCTTCAAAGGCTCTCTTAAATCGGTCAAGGATGCGTCCACTTCGGTGCAGACTTCCTTTATTTGGCAGAAAAAAAAAGTTAGAATAATACAATAAGAAAGTCGTCTGTTTAAAACCAAAGTCTGACAGCTTTGCCTCCTGTCTCGATTCATCCAACATTGGCAGGGATCATTACAGATGTAGAAATGCCGGAGAATCAAAATATGGGAATCAGGCACTGAAGGTGTGTGATAGCGGCGGCCTCGGGCAGAGATTTCCAGTGAAAACGGAGTGGAGCTACAGTATGACTTTGCTCTCACCAACAGTTGCATAATGGGCAGGAAAACTGGAATCATAACCGATTAATTCCCCCGAACAATTCATACGCTGAGACCCGCTTTCCTGTACCTGGCGCGACATTGCCCGCGTATAAGTTCTTTGGAAATAATAGGCATTTCTGCCGAATACAGGGTAGCTCACGGGCCACTTCAATAAGCAGCATGTACTGTACAGAATACACCGATTTAATTTATAAGAAAGTGTAGTCTCGGCTGCTGTCAGTTATTGAACCATTTTGGATTAAGTTTGGTAAACTAAATACCATACATAAAATGGTGTATGAAATATACGTAATCTATTTTAGAATCAGTTGCAGTGTGGCTGTTAAACAAATATCGTTGACATTATATATTTAAGCGGAAAGTTAACGAGCCCTTAGCACCATAAATATTATTACTGCATTTCGGCCGAACTGTAAACTTATCATTTTCATTGTTTTCCAGCTGGTTGGGAATATTTTCCTACGATTATTATACCTTTAATTATTTCGATACATTTTAATAGTAAAAATAATTATGGACCGAAAATTATTTTTCTTTTGCTTGGAAGTACTATTTTCAGTCGTGGATTACAGAGTAAATAATTCCCATTCCTGTCTCTCTTGCTGCCTTCGAAGAATGTTTAATTTACTTATTTTTGCACTCCGAGCCGCGGACTGTTTCACTCCCTCTGTATGCTGTGCTGTAAATAGTAAACGTTTTAGAAATAAAATATTTTACAAGTAGCCTCCGTTGTTACCGATTTCAGTTGTCCTGCAGCATTTATAACCTACAGTATGTTAACTACGGCGGGCTTTATACAGACTCTTACTGTAAATGTGTAATTATTTTATATCGAATATGCAGCTTTAATAAGTTAATGACTGAAACTTTGTAAAGCTGATCGTAATGCGTATATAACAATATACGAATAATTCGAATCTCTGTGTAGTATTATTATTATTATTATTATTATTATACAACTACTTATGGCTGTTTTGACTTTAACAACGCTTCACGCAAGGACACAGCTTATATGGTTGTTCTACAGTGCGTGCGCTTGTTCTGCCGGCTTTGAAACAGGGTTGTACTGCCTTTGGTTACGTGACCAATAGGTGTATTTATTCCAGATCAGAGTGTATAGACTATTGAATGTTTAAATTCACATAAACAATATAGAAAGAGAGTATCTAGTTACTCCGTTTCTCTAACTTCTTGTTTATTCCGGCGATGGGGTTGTTTGGGCTCGACAGGGTCTGGTTAATTTCATTGGCGCTGTGGTGTTTTGCGGGGTGCTGAGAGACAATTTGGGGAGACGCGAATGGACGCAGTGGGGAGCGCTGGAGAAATCCATTGATAAATGCCATGCTTTGGCACTCGAGGGCTGAAGAGAAAATGAATTTCACCCTCTTCAAATAGGTGTAGCGAAATCTTTATTTTTCTTTTTATTCTTCAGGCGGATTCTATATACATCAAAGTCGTTTGAATTTTCTCTTTAACGTGTAATGACATGAAATAATTTGGAATCTTTTCATTGAATCATTTCATTGTCTCCGTGGGCTATTAGACTGAATTATTTTCCTGACATTGGAGCTATCTCCGTGTTTGATAATATAACACGAACGGAGAGAAAAGCGTTCATTTGCTCCCACGAGAGCTGTCGCCGAACGGGGGTCACTTCTGGCGGCGCGTTGGCAATTTGGGGTGCGTGCTTCTCACTTAGGAAGAAATGAGCAAGGTGTCGTACTCAGCCCACTTCTGTCCTCACGCCTGCTTACGAACTTAAAACCACAGCGAACACTGTCAGACCCGCGGAAACACACTGTATTGACAAAGTCCGCGTGTGAGATGCGTCTAAATCGGACACCAGTTTTCCTCGATTCTTCTGATGAATTCCGTTACTTCATGCGATTCGGAAAGTTTTTTTTTTAAGGAAAAAGAAAAGTAAAATCTAATGGTGTGCATTAGGGGCTAGTGTGAAGAATAACATGGATTTTTGATTGTTCACTCTAGAATAAGATTTTAAATTTTCTGCTGTAGATCTGTATAAATTGTTGGTTACCTGTGAGACCGTAGTTGAAAAACCAAAGCACTGGCCCACTGATTGAGACACAATGGGTGTTTTTTAAAAGTAACAGCTGGACAGTTCCTAACAGAAATGATTAATGGTTTGCATGTAATGCCTATTTTTTTATGTGAAGCTTTAATACCATTAAATTTAAACCTCCTGCACGTGCTTGAATTTGTGGTGTCAGATTCCTTATACATGTAAAGGCTTACCTGGTGAAGTGATTGATTTAAAATTCTTCTTCACGGTGGTTTGTGGAGTTCCTCTCTAGTTAGCCAATAATGACTACAAACGACTTCTAAATTACAGTCAGTGTTGCTTCCGAAGTAGAGTGCTGCACACTGCAAGGGCAAGAGTTTCTATTTAATCCAATTCATGGTGTGATGAGCATAGGCATTTTGCAACTGCATGTCTCAGGCAAACTATATTTTAATCTGAAAGGTTACTACAAGTAGAAGCAGAATATTAATTTAGCAGGCACTCTCCTGTTAAATCCGGGTACCTTCAGATGTGTCTTTTACAAGAGCTGGTACCAGTGGCTCTGGCAGCACTCTGGTTTGGCTTGAGAAGGACTATCCTGAATCTAGAACCATGCTGGCTGACCCGGAGGAGGGCTGGGAATTTCGCAGGCCGTGGCCAGGGAAATTACTGTAACTTTCATTGGATGCTTGTGGCTCTGGAGCTGCAGTGCTGTGATGAGTCAGTCCCATCATGTTTTTAAAAGGGAGCAGAGAGTCTGGGGGAGATGGGCCCAGCCCGGCCATGTCAGGAACTCGGAACACAGTTCACACAGCAGTGACACAACTCCCGGCGGCTGGAGAAGTGCCTTCAGCTTCTGGTTTAGCACGTTTTTAGGTCTCTGTGGTCGGGGTTCTGTTGTCACAGGTCACCAGCCGATTATATGAGTCCCCAGTCCCGTAGTTTTGAGAAAAAAAATCAATGACCCCTGACTACATTTCGCTGCTTTGTTAAGACACAGTATTATTCAGATCTGTGCAAAACCATGTTGTCTTTGTATATTTTGTAGGACACACAGCGTTATACATCCTCTATTTACTATAGAACAGCTAATCATTTTCAAACACTAATATTTTTACAGAATTTCGCTTTCTAAGCCATCAAAGTTTTTAAGGAAGAGGTGCTATACACATATCTTACAATTGTCTTTTATATATTTTCAAGTACATAATGAATATTCTAAAATAGATCTGTTGAAAAAAATGTTTTTCTGGTTTTGGTTCTTTGCATTTGGTACAAGCTTTAAAACTGCTGAAAAATTCATCTTAAACCACAAGCAGTTCTTCTGACACAGGTTTCATGACATCTTAGTCACATTTCCATCCATGATTGAAACATTATTAGTTTATAGTGGTGAATGTCATTCCTATTGTGATGTGTAATGAGTCCTGCTGATTAGTCCTTGTTGTTAAGAAAGGGGTATGTTTATTTGTTGAAGAAAGCCCTGTTGTGATAGAGTAAATTCCAGAAAATACTCTCACAGGAGAAGGGGAAAGGGGGTGGGATTGGTTTGGATGGCAGAAAATGTGGTGATGATGACTGTTATTCATGCAGAATGTATCTTTATTCTGGTCTCTGAAATAAAAAGGGATAACAAATTGTATTTTTGTAAACAGTATTAGTTTAACTGAAGGCAATGTTTGTGTGTCTTGGTCAGAACAAAAGCACAGTTCTGCAGCTGCACATTCTGTTTAATGGACAAAACCATTACGACTGAGTGGTCTGTTGTCCAGAAATGTTTACAACAGATTTCACCGCGGTTCGTCACCAGTGACGGGCACCAAGCTGTTCGCAGAATGTTGTTTAAAGGTCGAACATTTATTCTCAAAGACGGTTGACATTTTTCACTAAATTCGCGGTGACTGCACAAAACTCTTGGTCTATGAAAAAGCCGTTAGCTAAAAGTAACCGTGAACAGCATGTGAAACAAACATGTTAAAAATTCTTTACAATAGTTCAGTGGTGTTGTGCCTGCCATGAATGACA